TCAGACGGTATTAATGAATTTAGGCTTGGAGTAGGAGATGCATGGGGGGCTGACAGGTCGAGAATTAGCCTTTGTTTTTGTGAGGATTTGTTAGTGACCAGTCCTATGGGATTAGTTCTCCAAACCGTGAACGGCAGGGAGTCAAAAGGGCCTAACAAGAAACCTTGGTCCATTTCCTTCTGAAGGAGTAAGTTGATAGTGTCGGGTGCTGCTAGGGCTGTCTGTAAGTTTTTACATTCCAGGATCCCTGTAGGCATGTGCACAATACCCGTGTGAAACCCCATCGTAAACCCTGTCACCAAAAAGTCAACGAGATGTTGTGATGGGTGATTACGTAAAAGTTATTTCAGTAGGGAGACATGAAGAGACGTTTGATACTGCTTAGGGAATAGTTTATTAGGGCACATTGCCTTGGCGTGAGCCCTGAAACAGATTGAAGCCATGCAGAAGTCTGCAGGCACTGTAACCGCAAGAGCCGGTGTTGAAATTGTTACAGACCTGTGACTTGCCCAAAAACACTATATCACGGCCTAGTTTGTCTTTAAGCACCCTGCCAGACCTCCCTGTGGGTACCACATTAGCAGGTGAAAAAGCAGCATTCACCTCAGGAGAATTAGGGCATAAATTAGCCGTGTGGGAATTGGATGAGCAAATGGCACAAGCTGGAGTTTTCAGGCCCGCAAAGTGCTGACAAAACAGCTCAGTATCAAGCACACCCCAATCAGCCTGAATATTGAACTGTGCTAGGGTGGCCGACGCCTTTGCGGAAAAAGCACGGTGGTAGTCGTAAAATGACGTACCACCGTACTTGTGCCCCAAATCCACCAGCTTGTGGAGGTAAAGGTCCAATTCTTCCCTCCTATTTGGATATACAGAACATAGGACGTCCCTGTATATACCGAAGGCCAGTACAAATTCTGGAATGGAAAGCTTTTGATTCAGCCTGGGATCTCTGGACTTGAGAACTACTGACACATCCCCATATGCATATGTCTTATTCTCAAGGACATCTTGTGAGGCAATCAAAAGTGATACCAGATTGATATCCTTTCCTTCCAAGATGTCCTTTCTGGTTTTAGCAGGTACCATGTGTGCTGGGTTAATTATATGTGGGTCTTTAGAGCTAGTTGGTAAATTACCCGGTAGAGGGTCCAAGCATACTGCAGCAACTGGGCTCCCTGCAGTAGCAGGCGACCTTTGCTGGCTATCTGCGTCCATTTTGTCCAGTTTGTCCGTAATACGACCCAAAGGGGTCAGGACTGACGACAAAACTGACTGCAGATCTGAGGAATGGTTCCCGCTGGATCCTTCCCCTGCCCCAGAGTTATCAGTCTGGGTATTTAATAGTCTGTACAACTCAGCTTTCCTAGCTGTAGCAGGGAACGGAATATTTCTCTTCCTTAATTCAGCCGTAATTCTTGGAACAGTCCACGCCCTGAGTGATGCAGGGCTTGCGTTGTCGTCACCCCGCGATGGAGTGACCAATCTAGCCGGTGTACTGGCGATGGACACATCTTCCCTTTCTTCAGGAACTTGTGACATGCTACAACATAAAATAGTATGTTATCTGGGGCTACCCAACTGGCTATTGATCACTAAATGCCAAGCGGCGAAGAATTATCAAGCGACGTGACAGATGAGGCCCTACTAGTGGCCAAGCGGCCTTGAGAGGCACTATCTATGATTTGGCGCGTGTGGGATACGTGGCCATTGGCATTATGGCAGGGTGGTGGCCTCTCTGTGACTTGTAAAGGCATAAGACAGAATGGGAGTGACAAGTGAGGCCCTCTCTATGCAACTAAGCGAGGCGGCTAGCTATGAATGGGCCCGAGGGGATGCCGTACCTCCGAATTGAGGATGGGTGTTGGCCTCGCGGGACCACTAACGTAAGGCGTAGAAGGCCAGAAAAACATACCTAGTGGGTCCTATTTCTTGCCAGTATCTGTATAAACCCTAAAGGGTAGGTAGGGAGGGAGAAGTAGTCGAAACGTGACGTACCTGTTGAGTAAGTTGCCAGATAGTATGAGAAGAAGTGTACAGGAGATCTGTCGTAATCTACAAGAGTAATTGACGTTTGTATGGGTAAAAATAAAACGAAATTGTGCCCCTAAATCCCCAGCTAATCTGATACCTACCAATAGTACTTCACTAGTAGTGAATTTTGCAGAAAGTAGGACACGTGACCCAGGTGAGCTGTAGTAACCTACGAGATTAACATGAGTTCGTAAGGGTTGAAATATGTAGCCCTTGACCCCCTGCTGATCAGATACCTATAAATAATATTCTAACAGTTTAGGTGACTGGGACCTGAATACTACAAAGTGCTAGGATGCTTATACCTAGTAATATAGAAAAATCTTTGAGGAATCTGGTCTGGCGTGACCCATGAAGGTATAATTAAATATAGGAACAGACCTATGTAGAGTGAAACAGTGGTGGGGTAGCGGAACCCAGAGGAATTAATGTAGAACACTGAAAACAAGAGGTCTCTAATTAATAGACCGTTAAGTATGTCATGACAAAATGTCCTTATATTGATACTCATACAATGCATACAACACTGGACTACTGAAACTGTAATCTTACAAATAATTGAGGTCGTGAATATAACCTTTCTGATCAGCAGGGTTGAGCAAGCAACTAAAAAGTACTGAAAACCGACCACCAGAGGTCTTCTTAGTGCATATCATAATTATACCACATAAAAGACTAGAGATTCGGCACACGAAATAGTCATAAGGTGACTGAGTGTAAATGCATTGTTCAACTTAATTAATAAAACATATTTAACGAATTGCCCAACAAACTTTAACCAGCATAAGATATCTTATAATCATAACTGAAATTATCATTTACTTGTACCAACTGCCATAACTTTAATAACCACCAGGGGTCGTGGAATGTATTTTGAGAGAGAAATCAGTGACAATGAACCAGCCACCAGAGGTCGCCCTAGGGCATACAACAAGTTGTAACATAAAAGTGAAGCAGCTTTCGGCAAACGAACGGGCATAATATGAATGTAGCGAATTGCCCTATACGAATTAAAATGTAACATGCTATGCGTATACAAGCAGAAAACCGAACGCCGGTATTCGTATAAATATTTACCGAAGAGTTTCCACGTGTGCGACTGTACAATTAGGATGACGTAAAACGGCCGCGCCGAAATTGCGACGGCCGTAAACTTACGATTTTGCCGTAACGAAAGCGCAGCGAAACGCCCGGCCAGGAAATGAAGCCAGACGGGCGGAACAGGATGGGACAGCACTTGTTGGGACCCAGGAAGCTACCCACGGTGAAACAGGTAAGTAGAATGGCGCCAGAACAACCGGAAGTGACGATCTCTCTACCCACAATTCGCCAGACCCAACAGGTAATGAGGGAAGGGTTGATGCTCCTTAAGAAGGGGAACCAAGCCCCTCCCACAACTTCAGGCCACGCCTTCCATATATATATGTGTATATATATATATATATATATATATTTAACAGAAAGAAATGGCTTTCATTTAACATTATATATGTATACCTAACAGAACTATACGTGTAAACAAATGTAAAAATGGGGGGGGGGGAGGAATGGATAAAAAAAACCTCAAAATAGATTAATTGATGGAGAATTCTTTCTTTTTTTTTTACCTATGCAATGCTTAGTGAGAATTTCCCTAGACATACAGAGCTATAAATATATGCATTAACCTACAGATGTATTGCATACAGAGACGTGGATTTAATAACATATATTAGCCAGATCTACAAATACCTCAACAGATCTTCCTTGATGGTTTGTGGTGGGGGGGGGGCAAAGGCAATAGAGGGGAAGCACTAATTAAAGGTCCACAGGTGTAATTAGTACATCTGGAGATACCTTGCCTAACTCTCACCTGCAGTTCCAGAGAAAAGGGGACTTGTCATAGATACAGGTAAATAAAAGGATAAACCTGCATTCTTTAAACATACCATATTTTTTTCTGTTAAGAGTCTGACACTTGTTTCCACTGTTGTATAAAAACATCCTGACATTGGAAAACATAACATTGTCTCTAAGCACCTGAATATTTTAATTGGGTTCCTAAATCAAAGACTGTCATGTACATCAGTTATTGCCTTAGTTAAGTCTTTCCACGTTTGCAAGGGCTAAAAGCAAGAATTTTCTCTCTCTTGTTTTAAATCTTTAACAATTTCACACATACTCCCTTTTCTCTGTCTCGCAGGTCAAGATAACTTTTGCATAGTTTAGAGAAGATGTGCTAAACATGTGCAGTAGATTTCCTATAATATGTAACATATGAGAAATTATACTTTTTGCACTGAGCATCTATCATTTGTTTATTTTGTCTTTTGTTGGATACACCCCAATGGAAACTTTGTTTGTTTCATATATACACTACACCCACATTAAAAAAAACACAATTTTTCTGGAACTTCATAATGACTGTTGTACTTTATTGTTCTCTGCAGTGAACATGCATGAAGAGACTAAGGAAAGCAGGATGGGTCAACTGCATAAGTCCATGGCAGCTTAAGGGTTTCCATAACCTGTAAATTTCGTATAGCAGTCCTGCTTGTTAAATGCCTAAAATGTTTAGGATCTAAATAGCAACCCCCACACTAAAGCTATACCAACCATAACCCTTACCCCACACTTATACTTATTCTAACCACTTGCCTACTCTAATCTTACTCTTAACCTCAGTCCTCACTATCACTGACCCTAAAACAGCATAACACCATACCCAACATTAGCTCTTAACTTACCCTAACCCTAAATTAACCCTAAACCTACCGCTAATTAAACACTAACTCTCCTGGAGGAGTGTAAAAGCTGGCCTCCTGCCCACCGACTATGGTCCAGGTCTGGGACACCGTTTGGGTGTTACCCTGCCCAGCTGCCATTAGTAGACTGCCCTGGGTACCCTTGGTTTGGCACTTTCCCTTCATGTGCATGGATCGAATGCTGGCTCTAAGTATATGTGCTGTCGAAGCTAGCACATATACTAAAATATGGAATGCTTCACTAATTTGCGTGTCATCCTTGCGCAGAGGCCATGCTAATCTTCTCTGTATCATTCCATTTTTTTTTTATTTTTTTTTCACAGACCCCAGCAAGGGGTCTCCGTTGTATTCAGCACAAGGCCTTCCCAGGAATCTCTGGGCCTGGGAGATAATTGCGTTAAAGAGCAGTAAGCTACTTATTGTCACGTATTCATCCCCTTATAGAAATGTGGTTAATGACATTTACTGTCCACACAGGAAAAGTTGTGCCGAGCAGCAACCTAATCCACAGAAGGTTTAATGCTGAGCAGTAATTGTGCAAATGAAACCTGGTTTCAAGTATTCATCCGCTTATAGAAAAGTGGTTAATGACATTTACTGTCCACACAGGAAAAGTTGTGCCGAGCAGCAACCTAATCCACAGAAGGGTTAATGCTGAGCAGCAATTATGCAAATGAAACCTGGTAACTGACTTTGGGGTCAAAGGCCGGTTACAGCCTATCAGAAAGAAAGGAGGGGTATTTAGGCCCAGTTCTCAGCCTGCTCAGTGCCCTGTCGTGGTTTCCCTTGTGGTTGTCTGAGAGCGCGTTCCTGTTTATAGTTTTCTACCTGGTTTTTGACTTTGGCTTTGTTTATTGACTTCTCTATATTCTGGTATCCTGACTCCTGGCTTTCCTCATCGCTGTGTCCCTTTCTGTGTTCCCTGACCTCGGCTAGTATTTTTGACTATTCTTTGTACGTTAAATCCGGCCATTCTAAGGACCAGTAATACGTTACTTATTTGTCATCCGTGCTGTACAGTTCTACGTGCTGGATCAAACAGTAATCCTGACACTTATCTCCTAGGAACAGAGAGGCAAACATAAAAACATAAAAATATCCCAAAACATTATAAAAACATACCATAACACAAATAATACATCCCCAAAAAGCCCTGATCTGAGCACCCAAGTTCTCCAAATAGCGCTCAGATCAATGCAATGTTAAGGTTCTAACTAGCCGCACACGTGGTCCTATGCCCAAAATAGTTCAAGGACGTTTGGTGCTTTTGCCGGTCAACTTTCGGGAGCTCCTGCGGCTGCAATATGGAGTGCTCTGCCTGGCCTTCAAGTAGCATTTGTTCCCCTTAGTCTTGGTCACCTCATGCTGAAAACAGTTCCATAACATTTGCATCTAAGTCCCACTGAGGCAGGGCCGGCCCAAGTTATTGTGCTGCCTTGTTCCAAGGATGAAATGCTTCACCAAGACCACGCCCATCAGACCACACCCACCAAACTACCAAACTGTTAGGTCCTTTTATGTGCCCGTGTCTTCCCTCTCTTTCCTCCCTTCATGTAGTGTGGCTAAGAGTACTGCGGTAGAGGAGCTTCTGCTTCCTCTACCCAGCCCGACAGGAAGCAGCTCTCACTGAGCACTTCCTGTCAGATTAGGCAGTGGACAAAGATCCTCTACTGCGTCATGGTCCACTTAGCCACAACTACATGAAGTGACCATCAGAAGGCAGAGCACTGTGCGCTCTACTGCTGCCGGTCACCCGGAGCACGAATACTGTATCACCTTGGCCGGTGTATATAAGACTGCCACCTATGCTTCCTTTTAGTAGTGCTGGCCTTGACTGTCCCCAATAATCCCACTGTTACCTGAGTCTTGGGCTGCTCTGGGGCCATCCTGGTTGATACCTGCTGCCAGGCCTGGCTCAGAGTGGTTTTGGGGCAGTGCCTGTGCCTAAATTTCAGAAAATAATGCATACAGATGTTAACATAAACTGCCTAATACATACATACATGCATGTACATAAAACACACACTGACAAACAAACACATTGGCTCATACATGTACACACAAACATTCCAATACATATGTATGTACACACACACACACTTTGGATGACTAGAGTGTCTTGGCACTGCCTAATACATCCATCACACATACTGCTTTATATTTAAACTGCTTAATCCACACACAAACTGCCTAATGCATACATACACACTGTCTCATTCACAGAAAAACACCCAGCCTAATACACACACACTTCCTAATACACACACTGCCTAACACACACACACACACACAGCCTGCCCTAACACACACACACCCTGCTAAACACACACACACCATTCCTACCACACACACTGCCTAATACACACACACACCCTGCCTAACACACACACACACACACTGCCTAACAAACACACCCTGCCCTAACACACACACACCCTGCTTAATACACACATACCCTGCCTAATACATACATACCAAACACAACACAAGCACAGGTGGGGGTTGGAGGAACTCCAAGCAGCCCATTACACACAGCACAGTACCGAAATTAGTTTCATAGTGGTCACGGCTAAGTACCGCTGAGGACTGTCAATGGGTTTTGTTCATGTGAATGGCTGCCAGAGAGCCAGCATTCATTCCATTCGCATGAAGGGAAAGTGCCAAACCAGGGGCACCCAGGGCAAGCTACTAAATGGTGTCCCAGACCTGGACCATAGCTGGACAATAGCTGTGGGCAGGAGGCCAACTTCCACACTCCTCCAGGAGTCCGTGGCAAACATACGTGGGAAGGATTGTTTGTCACCGTGACTAACCTGCTATTAGAAGGAATATTTGTCAGAACATGATTACTAGTGCTAGCAGATCAATAAGAAACAATTTTAATATTGTGCCTATTTTTATTTGTGTTTTCTAGTGCTGTTCTTGGATTTGATTATTTGATTTACCTGAATAAAATATAAATGTTTCCTCTCCTCCTATTTTTTGGCACCAAAAGCAGGACTCCGAATCCCAATCCATCCAAACATATTTTGGCATTGTGCTAGTTATTTGCTCGGCTTTATGCCTGCATGGTACTTCAGAGATACATACTTCGGCCTAACAACCTATCAGCCCAAATTTAGTTGAATCACAATTAATCCAAAACCGAATGGACAAGTCTAACAGATTTGTATAGTTCCTCAATATCTACATACTTTTTTTTTTATTTTTTATTAGAGTTGCTTGATCTACTACAAAGTTTTCTGTTCTAAAAAGTGGTCTAAAGTACCAAAAGTGGGGCAATCACTCTGGAAACAAGTAAAACCAGCAAGCATATCCCATTAGTGACTTCTCCCCTTTTACATTTTTGCATCACATTTTAGAACAGGAGCCTTTGATAAATCTCCCACACAGGTTTGTATTCTCTCAATTACACGTGAATTCATAGGAAAGAATAAACATTCAAATTCTCTTTCTTTTTCTGACTCACAAATGGTGGAAAAGTGTTAACATACTCACATGCACAAAAATCATAAAGCAATTTTTTTAGGTAAGAACTTACTTAACGCATAGACATGGCACAATGTTTCACACAGTAATTTGGGTAACACGAGGAATGAGTTAACACATACACCTAATTCACTATAGGGAAAGAATGAGGTTAACAAATGCAAAGAATAGACATATATTTAATACAAAATGAAATGGGTTAAGACACAAATATGTGATTCCAACATGTTTTCTTGAGCCTTGAACTGTTTTATCCTGAGTTAAATACCTGTTCTATCTCTATGTGTCAGCCAGCTAATGCATCTCCTCAGTATTCTTCTGTAGTTACAGACATGAAGTAGCCACTGCTCAACACTTCTTCATCCTGCAATTATCACAGAGACCAGAGGAAGGCTATTACGGGATGTGTACAGTACATTTAAATGTATTTTAACATCTACAGAAATAGTTTTGCAAAGTAAATATTATAATATAAAAATGAAAAAAAAAAAACGTATATAGATTGTGTTACAAGTGCATTATGGGAAATAATGTGATCAAGGGATTCTGGAGACATAATAGTAAAGATCAAAAGTTAAATGATTTCTACATATCTTGATAGGCCCAGGATGATATCTTCCAATATTCTAAATGCTTGCCATTATTTTGTATAGTTTATTTTTTAACGATAAGTTCAGGATTAGTTAGGTTTAGGGTTCCTTTAAATTTATGGCAGGACTGAAAAATACACGTTCCAGGCTTCATATTTTAATCTAAATTTCATAAAAAAATACGTAGATACATAAAAAGCCAGTCAGTGTCAACACATATGTTAATGTTGGTGTTACAGTCCCACGCAATAAATCATCAGGTGGTTCATATGCTTTCACAAAACCCAATTGAAAATTAGATTAAAATGTCTTAAAAATGTACACTTCATTTTCTTTTTCTAAACTGAAAAATAAGTTATATTCAACATGCAAAAACAAGCAAAAGATGCAATTGGAGTAGCAAACTGTACTGTCATTTGTGCATTGCTCTTTTTGTAAAAAATAACATAAACATCTTTGGTTCTTGCCAAGTTCTCTAGCACTAAAGCAAAACATTTAGGAACAGATCAGACTGTATGCCAGATTATGCATAGGTCTGTAAATGACTTCCTCTCATAACTAGGTAGGAAAACAATTTGAGGGAAACATAAAACCTTTGCACTTACCTGCTTTCTCACCCTAGGAATTGGATTCTAGGTAAATAAATATATATACTATATCAAACAATAAATATGTGATTTTTGTTTGCAGATAAAATGGTCTTTTATCTTAAGCATTAGCAAACCCTTTATAGAATACTTAGAAACAATATATTTAATAAGTCAACAATATGCAAATCCACATATTAAGCATATCTGTAAAATAACTATTTTTTTACTAGCAATTTTAAATTAATCTATCCTAAGTCCAAATCAGACTTTCTTAGCATGTAAGAAATTATTAAGGTTTATGCATACCAGTCTGTGTATGACAGTCAGTCATAAATGTAAATAAATAGTTAAACGTGTTATGTAGCAGCAGTTAGTAAATCTAGCATTACTATCACTTACATAATATGACAGACAATGATAATAATGTCACACGATAGACAGTTTCTATTTCAGAAAATTATATAATAGCTGGTGTCTCAATAGCAATAGCAAAGTAATTCAAAAGGAAATACATCTCTAGATATTTTCAATGTTAGTCTGGATGTAAATAGAAGAGAGAAAAGGCTGGATTATAAATATGTTTTACAAGAAACCAATCAGTGCAATAATATTCTCTGGATACTCATATATTCCTTTCTTACGTATGCTAAAGGGA